ATCCTGATGATTATCGTAAGATTTCTTGCTGCACCACTGCCAAAGAAATGTGGGACAAGCTAGAGGTCACATATGAAGGTACGGACCAAGTTCGGGAAGCCAAAATTGACTTCCTAACGTAGGAGTACGAGATGTTCAGGATGAAGGAAGGAGAAAAGATCGATGACATGTTCGATCGGTTTTCAAAAATCATCAACGATCTTCACGCTCTCAAGAAGACGTACACCAACAGAGATCTCGTGAGGAAAATCCTGCGAAGCCTCACACCCGAATGGAGATCAAAGGCAGACGCAATCTATGAATCCATCGGAGTCTCAAATGTCACCATCGACGGGCTAAGAGGTAATCTCAAAACTTATGAATCTACTATCCTAACCCCGTCTTTGGATGAACAAAAGAAGAAAGGTATAGCGCTGAAAGCAACCAAGGAGCCCGTGGAAGATGACACAAGCAATAATGACAACGAGTTCGGACTCATCATCAAGAAGTTCCACAAATTCATGAAGAAAGAATTTGAAAGAAAAGGAAGAAAGCACGATGGGCCCCCGAAGTGCTATGGATGTGGTGAGATAGGCCACATCAAGCCGAGGTGTCCAAAAAGCAAAGGCGGCAAGGACAAACCTGGATTCAAAAAGCAACGCGCCTACATCTCTTGGGGAGGCGACTCCGGGGATGAGTCAACGGATCAGGAAGAGGAGGAAGCCGCCAACCTTTGCCTCATGGCGCACGAAGATCAAACCGACAACATTCAAGAGGTATGTACCATTTCTTCCGACTCTTATACTTTTGAAGAAATGCAAAAAGCACTTCATGAGCTTTATGATGAATTTGTTAGCGCTTCTAAAACCAACAAATCTTTAAAGAAACGCCTTTCAACTCTTGAAAACGATTTTGCCAATTTGGAAAAAGATAATGAAAGGTTAAGACAAGAAAATAAATTTTATGGTAAGAGAAGTGCTGACAAACCAGAAAGTTCTTCAAGTGAATGTGAATCTTGCAAAACTTTAAAAGAAAAAGTTGCAAAACTAGAGAGTACGGTTAAGAAGTTTAATACACCACACAAAGATCTTAATTTACTTCTAGACACTATGCATTTTTCTAAGGAAGGAATAGATTTTGATAAAAATGAATCTAAGGATAAAAACGTTGAGCAAACACCTAGAAAACCTCCTAAGGCTCAACATAAGAAAGTTAAAAATCAGGATAATAGAAAACCTAGTCAACCTAGGGACACTAGACAACCTAGACAAAAACCTAGGAATGAAGATGCGCATGATAGACAACCTAGGAAAAGTTATCAAAATGATTCTATGCATAAAAATAATTTTTCAAATAGACAAAATAATTCTAGAACACCTAGAAGGGAAAATTTTCAAAAACCAAGATTTTCTCAAAACAGGATGAATATGGTTAGGCCCCCTAGCAACTACTACCAACCTAGGAGGATGCATAACCCAAACGTAGTTTGTCACTATTGCAATAAGATAGGACATATAGCTCCCGTTTGCTTTACTAGGCATAGGCATTGGGCACAAAATGAATCACACTACCACTTTGCACCTAACACTCAAGGACCCAAAAAGACTTGGGTACCTAAATCTTATTAAATCACTTTTGTAGGTATGCTTGAAGGCATCAAGTGTACTTTGGTACCTTGATAGTGGATGTTCCAAGCACATGACCGGAGATGCATCCAAGTTCCTACAAATCAAACCCGCTAAAGGAGGAAACGTAGTCTTTGGAGACAATAGCAAAGGAAAAATAATTGGGGTCGGCTCAGTAGGTAAGTCCGAAGACTCGTCTATAGATAATGTCTTGCTTGTTAAAGGTCTTAAACACAATCTCTTGAACATAAGTCAATTATGTGACAAGGGAAACCGTGTGACCTTCGATTCAAAATCATGCACTGTAGAACGTCTCAGTAACAATAAGGTCATTCTACGTGGTGATAGAATCGATAACATTTATATGGTTAACCTAGACAAATCTCCTTCCGGCTTTGCTAAGTGCCTCATGAGTAAAGAGGAAGACACTTGGCTATGGCACCGAAGAGTAGCTCATATGAACATGAACCTTTTGAACAAATTGGTTTCACAAGACTTAGTAATTGGCATCCCAAAACTTAAGTTTGAAAAAGACACCATATGTGATGCATTTCAAAAGGGGAAGCAAGTTCGGGCTTCGTTTATGTCTAAAAACGTTGTTTCAACGTCTAGACCGCTTCAACTTTTGCACATGGATCTCTTTGGTCCTTTTAGAACGAAAAGTTTTGGTGGCAATTACTTTGCGTTTGTGATTGTCGATGACTACTCTAGGTTTACATGGACCTTGTTTCTAACTCATAAAAGTGAGGCATTTCATGTTTTCAAAAATTTCTTAAAGAAAGTTCAAAATGAAAAAGAAACAACCATAGTAGCCATAAGAAGCGACCATGGGGGAGAGTTCGAACGAAATCTGTTTTCAGATTTGTGTGACGAACTTGGCATTGATCATAACTTCTCAGCCCCACGTACACCACAACAAAATGGAGTGGTGGAACGTAAAAATAGATGTCTCGAAGAGATGGCTAGAACTATGATCAATGAGGCAAAAATCCCTAAGTATTTTTGGGCGGATGCCGTGAGTACCGCGAGCTACGTGTTAAACCGAGCCGTCATTCGACCGATACTCATGAAAACGCCCTATGAACTATACAAAGGGAGAAAGCCAAACCTTTCCCATCTTCGAGTCTTTGGTTGCAAATGTTTTATTCATAACAATGGTAAAGACAAT